TAAAGGATTAACTGCCATTTCCTTAGCATCTCCCAGAAGACCCTTCCTATCTGACACTTGTCTACCTTTCCAGCCTCAACTCCCATCTCCCACCAAGTTCCACTTTGCCCTCACACTTCAGCAATCCCCAAAGGCTCTCACATTCTCTCCATCTCTCTCTCTCTCTCTCTCTCTCACACACACACACACACACGCACGTGTGCACACATGCCATGCTGTTTCACAAATAGTATATTACAGTCTACATTTAAAAAAAAAATATTCAGGTCTCGGTGTCGTGGCTCACGCCTGTAATCCTAGCACTCTGGGAGGCCGAGGCAGGTGGATCGCTCAAGATCAAGAGTTGGAGACCAGCCTGAGCAAGAGTGAGACGCTGTCTGCTGTCTCCACTAAAAAATAGAAAGAAATTAGCTGGACAATTAAAAATATATATAAAAAATTAGCCATGCATGGTGGTACATGCCTGTAGTCCCAGCTACTCAGGAAGCTGAAGCAGGAGGATCACTTGAGCCCAGGAGTTTGAGGTTGCTGTGAGCTAAGCTGACACCATGGCACTCTAGCCATGGCACTCTAGCCCGAGACTCTGTCTCAAAAAAAAAAAAAAAAGAAAAGAAAAAGAAAAAGAAAAGAAAGAAATTCAGCATATCTACTAAGAATACATGAAACAAGTATAGGGAAAATGTGATTACTTAATTTCCTACCCCGCCATTTCCCTCACTGTGAAAATACTTAAAAAATTAAACTCTTTGCTTGTAGAAAAAACTCATTTTTAATGCTTTTTTTTATTTACTGTTTTTTTTTATTTCAGCATATTATGGGGGTACAAATGTTAAGGTTATGTATATTGCTATATTGCCCTTGCCCCCCGCTCCCATTTTAAAGTAGTTTATAAGTAAGAAAATTTTTAAAAATTATCTTTGAAAGACATAGAACTTCAAAATAATCACAAATCAGCAACATTATTCATATATTCTGTTTTTAACATTGTAGTGGCTGATTTTATTTATCTGAAACATAAACTTATTGAATTTCTTCTAGAGACATCATGTGACTAGCAAGTGACTAGTTACAATTTCTATTTGCTGAAACCAAAAGGCTTAAAGACCACAGAAATGTTATTGCTGAAGAAGCACAGGGACTTGACAACATTCCCTTACTGCCTCCTGCTGTTCTCAATGTGTAGTTTGTCATTTTGTGTCATAAATGATGCCCAGGAAATTTTAAGATGATGCAAACTTCTAATAATCTAAGCTTCCTCTTCCTTCAATTGCCAGTGTCTCCTTTAATCCATAAAATCCAATTTTAAAAGTATACTTAAAATTAACAGGTACTCCTTGATCACCTGTCCCCTATGGTCTAGCACTCAGAAAAATTCTTCATAGTGGACAGATACCCAAGGGGATGCTGTTCTGGAGCCTGGAGTGAAAACAAAGAAGAAGAACTAGTTCAAAGTTTCTTTATGTTACGTTGTTATTTCACCTCATACCCTCATAGGGGCAGTATTGTGTAAGAGTGGAATGCACAGGCTTGGGAGCCAAAGCCACCCACCCTGATCTTTTACTCAGCTCTAGGCCTTATTAGCTGTGTGACCCAGGGCAAGTCACTTAATCTAAGGTTTAGTTACCTCACCTGAAAAAAATTAAAAAAGAAAGAAAACTAAATGAGAATTTGAATGTGAAGCTCATAATTGTATAATAGAAGCTCTTATTTATGAAGAATTATAAAGTAGCACAATGTTTTAAACTTTTATTGACAATTCCAGCCAGACTAATTTTCAGCAACACATGGGAACAGAACATCACTAAAATTATTAGTTTCTTTAAGTTGACTTTCATCATTCAGGGACTAAGGTTTCTACAGGATACAAAACATATATTTATTTTTGCTCAATCCTCAAAAACATTTGTATACTACATATTACAGTCTCAGTGATTTTTTTCCACTTTTACAAAATGATAAGCACAGTATAAATATTAAATCCAGAAATTTATTTTACCTCCAGTATTTAAGTAAAACAGCTGAGAAAATAAAATCATTTGCAATTATTTATATCCTAAAAATTATATAATTGTCTATTGACCCAAACCCATCCTTGTCCCTACATCCGTTTAGGATTAGTAAATTGGGGTAGAAGAAATATATTTCAATAAAAAATTATATGTTCTAACTACTACTTTCAGGTGTATTATCAAATATATTCTGTATTGAAATTAGAAACCAAGTATGTAAAAAAAGTATTAGTACATGTTTAAAACTTTTATAGGGTCTAAATACAAATATAGCACATCAGTCATTAGACAACAACCTTGTCTAAAAGATGTATCCAGTAAAGATATAAAAAAGAAAAAAATTTCTAAAAAGAAAAAAAATACAATGACCCCCTGAGTTTATTAATTTTTTATGATAATTCATACATACATCTAATATAGTACATCAATAAAATAGAACATTGTGCTTGAGATAATTTGTATTTCTCAAATTAAGCATGTTACAAATACATTTTAATATCTATTTCTCAAATTAAAATATTAAGCCAATTTTATATTTCAAATGTAAACCTTAAATTATTTAATAGAGGGAAAATTTTGAAAAGTATATAAAGGCTTCAAATAAATAATCATTGCTATTTACTGAGTATCTACAATTCTTATAACAGGCACTGTACTAGCTGACTTTTATTTTTTCTAGTATTCTCAACAGTACACTTCTTTCTTTCTTTCTTTCTTTCTTTCTTTCTTTCTTTCTTTCTTTCTTTCTTTCTTCTTTCTTTCTTTTCTTTCTTTCTTTCTTTCTTTTCTTCTTTCTTTCGTTTGAGACAGGGTCTCACTCTGTCACCCAGGCTAGAGTGCAGTGGCATCATCATAGCTCACTGCAACCTCAAACTCCCCAGCTCAAGTGATCCTCCTGTCTCAGCCTCTGGATTACCTGGGACTACAAGTGTATGCCACTATACTTGGCTAAGTTTTTGTAGAGTTTTCTAGTTTTTGTAGAGACGTGGTCTTGCTATGTTGCTCAGGCTGGGACCATCTATATTCTATAATTGAGGAAACAGAGAGGATAAATAACTTGGCCAAAGTCAACAGCTTACAAATTGCTAAACTGGGACTTGCTTGTTCTTTCCCCTGCATCCTATTGCCAAGGATCAGGCTTCCCATGAAAAACTAACAGTGCATGGACTTTAGAATTTTATTTAAATGATACTTCTTACAAAACAATTATTTGCCAAAATTTTATGAGACTCTCTGACTTTCTAAAAGCAATGAGATTCAGTGGATGGATGAATTTGTAATTTCTTTTCAGTCATGTACTTTAAATTATAATAACATCATGGTCAAATTCCATGTAAGAAATATATAGATAAAAAAATAAATGTTCTAAAGATGGTCTTTGGTTTTCTGTTTTCATATTATATTCTGTTGGTATCTGAAAATCCATATCTTAATTTTCAGAAATGGAAACAGTCTCAAAAAGTAGAATTTGAGTATAAATGAGAAAAAGTTTACCCTTTAAAAAAATGCTTAGCAGAAACAAAGATATCCATAACAAACTATGGAAAAAATGTCAACAAGTTAAAATAAGATGCCATTTTTACATTCATCTTATAGATGAATAACACCTGCAGAATTTGATAAACCTCAGGGTTGATGAGGAAAATGAGCTCTCAGATTCACTCTTAGTAGTACCATTAATTGGAAACATTTTTGAAGATAATTTTGTAATACCCATCTAAATTGAAATGTATATACTCTTCACATCAGTAATTCCATCTTATCCTGGCAAAGTGTGCCAAGATATATATTTACATGATACAAATTATATAAAATTTTTGATAGAGTAAAAGAATCCAAAAATGAAATGTCCATTATCAAGAAATTTCTTTTAAAATTGTTATTTACTGGTACCATGGAGTGTGATATAGTCAATACAAAGATGTACTGAAGTACACAGAGTAAGTTATAGAAAATTATAAACACCATAGAGGAATTTGTATTAAATATGTACATATACATTTGCTTCCATATTCCTAAGAAACTTCTGCAATTATATAGAAGAAACTGTAACCTAGTGCTATCACTGGTAGAGGGAGGAAGGAAGGGGTTTTTCAGTTTTCCATTTTGTATTATTTTACCCAGAATTGCAATGACTTTACAAGAATAAAAAAGCTTCACAACTCAAAATGGATTGAAGATTTAAATGTTAAGGTCTAAAACTATAAAAGTACTAGAAGAAAACATACGGAAACTCCTTCAGGACATTGGTCTAGGCAACTTCAGTTAGAATGGCTATTATCAAAAGGACAAAAAGTAATAAATTCTGGTGAGTATGCAGAGAAAAGGGAACTTTTATATACTGCTGGGGAAATGTGAATTAGTACCGCTATTATGGAAAACAATATGGAGATTTCTCAAAAAACTAAAAATAGAACTACTATAGGACCCAGAAATCTTACTGCTGAGTATTCACCCAAAGGAAAGTAAATGAATATATCAAAAAGATATCTCTACCCCTGTGATTATTGCAGCACTATTCACAATAGCCAAGATATGGAATCAATGTTAAGTGTCCATCAACAGATGTATGGATAAAGGAAATGTGTGTGTGTGTGTGTGCATATATATATACACACACACACACACAATTAAATACAATTATGCCATAAAAAAAGAATGAAATCCTGTCATTTCACAGCAACATGGAAAACCTAGAGGACATTATCTTAAGGGAAATGAGCCAGGCACAGAAAGATAAATACGGCCTGTTCTCTTTCACATATAAAAGCTAAAAAATTTAAGAAATGAACTTATTGAAGTAGAGAATAGAATGTAGTTATTAGGGGTTGGAAAGGATGAGGGATGGGGAGGAAAGAGGTTGGTTAATGGATACAAAATTATGCTGAGTGGGAGGAATAAGTTCTAGTGTTCTATAGTATTGTAGAGTGAATATAGTTATCAATAATTTATTGTATATGTTCAAAAAGCTAGAAAAGATGAATTTGAATGTTTCCAACACAAAGAAAAAATAAATGTTTAAGGTGACAGATACCCTAATTACCCTGATTTGATCATTACACATTGTACATGTATATCAAAATGACTCTGAACCCCATAAATATGTACAATTATTGCATAGCAACTAAAAATAAAAGTACAAGAAAGAATACAAAAGATTTTAAGCTAACATAAAAAACTATACAAGTGTTTTAATTTTTAAAAAATTATTGGAGTTAAAAATGTATAATAATAATTTGAATCATTTTTATTGCTTTTTGAAGCTCAATTCAGATATTAAACAAGCTAAAGTATAAAGAAATGATGTCTATAACAAATAAAATATTTTCCTTTTCCCTCACAGGAAATTCAATGCCTCAAAGAGTTTAAGATGTTAGTGACTTTGAGGATGTTGATACTTTGAGACGGGAGTCTGCCAATCTCCTCGTTTGCTGGCAAATTAATAACTCCTCTTTCCTTCTCCTCAAAAAAAAATATTTTAGTGACTTTAATTGTACCATAATCCAAGTATCTAGCCAACTGTGGATTTGGCATATCCCAAACTGGTTTGTGGCTTCATCTCTTGTTTCTAAAAGGAAGTCTGGAGGAAAAGGAGAAGGAATTGACAGTAACATTTGTACAAGTCAGATCAAGTAAGGCATTCAACTACAACCACTCTGCTCTTGGCTTTTACAGGGAGTTGAAGGCTAACTGTGTACGCAACACAAGTTCCTTTCAATCCTGTGCAAATTAAGAGTCCTCAGTAGAACTAGAGAATGTAAGGAATTCTAGTTCTTTTCCCTTAACTCTTCCCTCTTTTTGTTTTCTTCTCTCTCTCTCTCATAAGCAGATGAGAAAAGAGAAATATCCAGGTTCTCTAAATCTTATTGATGAGTTTTATTGATAGGTTTTCACTTTCAAGTTCTTAATCACTCCATGTCAAATTGTAATTTCATCAAAATGTCAATACTGTGCAAATGATTGTGCTGAAACAATCGTGGCATTTTTACAAGTGGAACAGATAATATGAGTTTGTGAGCTCTGAGCTATAGAATACTGATAGGCAAACTGTTGAGTCCTGGAATACAAATTGAATTCATGGTTGAGAATTCCTACAAGATTGCAGTGTTTGTCAAGGTCAAAGGAAACCACTATTCATTAGGTATAGAAAGAACTTTCCAAAAAGGACGTTTCAGTGAGGCATGTTGTTTTCAGACATTTAGTTGGTCTAAAAAGCATGCTTTAAAATGGACATATTGTTCATTTTAGCTAAAATGTACAACTACAAATTCACTATAGAAGAGCTCATGGTGAGAAACAAAATATTAACAAAGAAAACTATGGCAGATGGTGTGGAGGATGAGACAGTATGGGGAGTGGAAGAAGGTTTTTCATTCCAGCTGGAAGGCTGACCACTGAGTTCTGAGTTTGGAATGGCATCTATACAAATGTTTTCAGCAACACACACATCAATAGCATTAATGTCTTTTATATCATCTCTCTCCTTACAACCCAAGGTAGAATAACAGCTACAACGAAATTTTTCAGAAAATTGCTGCAGGTCTTCAAGTGCAGGTTTTCCAAGTACTGTGTACTCTCTACCTTTCCCAATTTGAATAGCAAAATGCGCTGGGTTCAGGTGAAGATAGTCACTTGAATTCCAGTTTTTCCTTGTACATACACCTTGCTCCTGGCAAAGCACTTGGCTACACATTTTGGCTGCTAGGGTGAGATTGAGTATGTAAGGATTCAGTGTAGTCTTCATGTAATTGTCCAGGTTCAAGCAAGATTTCTATAAAATAAAACAGAATACAGCCAAGAACAAGTTAGTTCATATGTGAATTAATTCACTGAAATAAGCAATTTTTAAGGAAGAACAAAAAAAGATACAGAAAGAGGTAGGGAATATTTTTCCTTAATAAGCAAGATTCTTCCAACTATTTTTTGTAACATTTGTCATTAAGTTTCCCAGCTGTTTCAAGCTACTAAATAATTGACCAGTTGAAGCTTCACATACTATAGCCTTGTTCTTCCTTAATAATGCATAAACTAATTGAGATAGAAGGCTATAGCTGTTCTGTGGTCAATTTGCTTTAATTGATTCCCAGTTCAATTAGTGACTACCTGTAAGAAATTGGGAATCTCTCAAGCTTTTGAAATCTTACTTTCTTAACAGCATGACTTGGGAAAATTACTTAACCTATATGCTTCAGCTTCATGATCTGTAAAATATTAAAATAATATTAAAATAATATTTAATAATATTTAATATAAAAATAATATTTAATAATATTTAATTTAATATGACGCCTACCTCATAGAGTTGTTGTGAAGATGAAAACGTATTATATATACACAAGTGTTTAACACAGGGCCTAGCATGTCTTTGGTTGACCCTCAATAAGTTATAAATAATGTAATAAGCATCACATTTGTCAGACAAGTTTAAACAGCATTGAAAAGATTTACTAATTTCTAAATTGCAGGCTCAAAACAACTAAACAGGGGTTTAACTGAGTACACTTTATATTAAATGTTATGTATAGTCAAGTTATGGGTAGATAATGAAAACTCTTTTACAAATTTGGCAGAGTGATTAACTGAAATGATTCATCTTGAGACTGGTATGTACTTAAACTTGGGCACTGTTGTTCTAAAGACAATAAAGATAGTCCTTTTTCCTGACTGACAGTTTCCACTGAGTGAGCTGAGTCAGCAGACAAAAGGAAATGGTGATTGTAGGTCGACAGGTAAGTCAAGAAATCTTGACAGCTTCTACTTAAATCTATTTCCTGTTACCTTCCTGGAGATGATGTCATCTACTGCTGGCAGAGTAATTGCTTCCCAAAGATGTCACACCCTAATCCCCTGGAATCTGGGACTATGTTATATTACATGGCAAAAGGAACTTTGTAGATGTGATTAAGGCTATGGATCTTAAGAAGGGGAGATTACCCTGAATTATCTGGATGTGCTCAACCTAATTACTTGAGTCTAAACATGTAGAAATTTATCAAGCTGAGTTAGAAAGATTAGATGGAAGGAGAAGGATAGATTCAAAGTGTAAGAGGGACTCAATTCACCATTGCTAACTTTGAAAAGACAAGAAGAGGGCCATGAGCTACGGAATGGACCAGCCTCTAGAAGCTGGGAATGGTCTCTAACCAACAGCCAGCCAGATAATGGAGATCTCATTGTTCCAACCACAAGGAAGTGAATCTGCCAACAACCCAAGTGACCCAATTAGGATCCTCCCCTAGAAAGAAATGCAACCCTCCTGACACCTTGATTTTAGCCCATTAAGAACCACACTGAATTTTTGACCTACTGAACTATAATACATTTCTGTTTTATTAAGTCATTAAGCTTTTTGTAATTTTTATGGAAGCAATAGAAAATTAATATACCAGCCATCTTCTTAACTCTCTAATGGCTTTGCATGATGTTAAAATAAAATCCAACTTCTCCTCTTGACTTGTACACAGCCTGACATGTTGTAACCCTTCTTTCCTCTTGTACAACCTTCAGACACCCACTCTACCATAGACATAGGAGTTATTTCACTAGCATGGCATGTAGGATAGGAGAAGGATAGATTCAAAGTGTAAGAGGGACTCTTACATAAATTTCTACATGTTTAGATAATTTCTACATGTTTAGATAAATTTCTACATGTTTAGACTCAAGTAATTGCAAACTGCACTTACTCTTCTCTCTGCTTGGAAAGCTCTTTCCTCTAATTTTTAACATGGTTGACTCCATCTTGTCATTCAGATGGCAGCTTTAATTAGATAATGCCTTTCCCAGAAACCTTTCTGGTTGATTTTCTCACATCTCTCTATTTTAACTCTCTGTATAGCACTTATCAAACCAAATATTTTTCTTGTTTGTGTATTGTATTTCAAACACTCATAAACCTCAAGGTACATGAATTACTTGTTATGTTTCTTCTGATTTGTTGACAACTGGAGAAACCAGTAATTGAAGGTTTACTTGCAGTTACTGAAACTGACCTTAAACAAGTGTAAGTAAACCATTTCTTTTCCTTTCATTTTACTAAATCTAGTGGTGTGATGGAGCCAGCTCTACTGTTTCTGCTTGTTAAATACCATGTTCAGATAACATTGCAGTTGCTTCCTCAACTCCACAGAGACAAGGGTTCGGCAAAAAGAGGAGTAAAGGGATAAGAATAATTTTAGAATCATTAGCCTACGCAGCAGTAGTCTATAAAAAGATCCCAAAACTGGCTTTCTAACAGATAAGGCCTGGTTTATGTCAGATATATATATATATATATATATCTTCATGGTGTAAATACTCCTACCATGGCCAATTTCAAGTTACTAATCTGACATTACTGAATGCAGAATTGGGAATCAAGTATATCACCATTACACAATATGGCAGTATGGCGTAGAGTAGCACATCATTACATAGTATTTTCACTTATATAGATATAGTAGATGTAAATAATTTCAAGAGATGAATAACAGTAAAATGAAGTAAAATAAACAATATAGTGAGAATTTATTACCTTTGTTTTTAACATAATTCATTTTAATATAAATCTTTGAAAATTAATATTTAATAATGGCTGTATTTAACAACTGTCTCACAAAATTCCCAAATATTTAACAAGCAGAAACAGTAGAGCTGGCTCCATCACACCACTAGATTTAGTAAAATGAAAGGAAAAGAAATGGTTTACTTACACTTGTTTAAGGTCAGTTTCAGTAACTGCAAGTAAACCTTCAATTACTGGTTTCTCCAGTTGTCAACAAATCAGAAGAAACATAACAAGTAATTCATGACTCTATAGGGGACAATTCTGAGACAGTGCCATGAAGTAGAAAATAGTCATGTTAAAGTTAAAGGGCTGTCCCTGGTATAAATAATACTAAAGATGATTCAGGAGGCATGGTAGTAGAATGTAAATCTAAGATTAAAATGCCATTAAAAATCAGTGTCACACCTAAATAGTAAATGTTATCCTACTCATTGAGGAATGCATGATTCATTGTTCCTCCCACTAAAGGTGGAGTTCTCGATGGGGGAGTTTGTTTTTTTCTTTTTTTTTATTATTTAATTTTTTTAATGGAGTTCCCAGTTACATTAAAAACAAAAGGAAAAAATTTGTATGGAGAATTCATATATATTTATAAAATGTTAAATAATAGGACCCTTGAGAAAGGAGTTTGTGGGTTTGGGAAAACACCTAACAAAAATTAGGAATATACTTAAGAGAATTACAATTTTAAAATAACTTACTGACATATACAAGATTTTACCGAGGGACATATACCTTTCTCTGAACTTCTATTTTCTGTTATTTATTTTTATTGGAGATCAAACTAGAGACCATAGAATTATTCAAAATAGAGAGAAGGGCTCAGATTACCTTGAAAGAATTTCACAAATGTAACTGCCGTTAAATATTTTTAAATAAAGTAAGAACGTGCTATTCTATCTGAAGGACAAGAGATGAATATGACCCTTCTCATAAGGTTTCTTGGGGTCCTAGAATTTAAAGTCTGTTCTCTACAGATCCTACAATAGGACCCCTGGGCCATGAGCTCCATTTGACATGTCCCCTGGCACGTTCATTACTATTTCCACATCCATCAGATAAGGAAAAGTTCAGCTTCAATTCGCAATGACCATATGACAGCTTTCCTCTCATATTGAATCAAGAGGACTGAAGAGGTGGGGGATAAAGACCTGATATGGAGAATTAAAGAGGAATGAAAATAAAGGCAGAGAGAGACCTATCTTCTTAAACCAAATACCATGTCAGAAAACAGAGGATAGTCTTGTTTTTGCAACTTAATAGCCAGGTAGCTTAGACAAATTCAATTAACCTCACTGAATTTCTGCTTCATCACTGGAAAACAGGTATAATATTTTCTGCCTTACCTCAACCACACAAACACAAGATATTTTAATTCAGCCAGTATTAACTGAGCGAGCGCTTACTGTTACAAAGGTGTTACATAGGCATAGTAGTACTTATCTCTCTTATTCAATACCAAACAATCCCGAAAAATATTAAAGAGAGAAATATTTTCATCTATTTCCTACCAATTCAACTTACCACACTCCGCATTATACTTAGGCTATCCCATATTACAATTCCAGAGGCACCCAGAGCCACACTTTCACCAAGTGTATTCACAAGGTCTTCCTGGCAAATGTGATAGAAAAAGTTAGCAGGCATAAAATGAAAGTGTTATATATAGGACAGTAACAAAACAAAAGTTAAGCATGCTAACCCAACAATAATAATTTAAATATTTCTCCACCATTTTTTCTATCTTTTACACAGCCATTTTGTCTCCCTACAAAAAAAAAATAGAAACTACTATTATTTTAATTACTTCTATTGATAAGGGAGCAGAAAGAAAAAAAGAAACTGAGTAAATACATTGTCTATATTACCTAATTCTCCATACTTACTAAAAAATCATAAGTAACATAGAAATTAAACATATTCCTATTTTGCATTCATACAATAATGTAGAACTACTTGTGCACATTCCTAAGTGATATTAAAGGCTAAATTTCACTCCCTTCAAAAATAACATTAAATCCCACTAAACACTTTTTGTTGACAGCATTTCATAGCCCTTATACCTTGATTTACTTACCTCAGAAAGGTATTTCAAAGCTTGATCAGTAAAAACTAGGCGGGCATATACAAAAACTGGAAGTGGCCTTTCAACATCAGGTACTTTGGAAATCCTAATGGCCTCATGAACTCGATTACGAACATAGAGCAAACTTTTTCGAGGAGATATGCTGCTGTTCAAATAAATGGATGGGAAAAGGGCAGTGCTTTCCTTCCATAACCAGTCAAGAGCATCATTTCTTTTCTTTTCAATATCAAAGCAACTTCCATTAAAATTGGGTTCTCTATGATTATGGTTGTAACAATCAGGAAAAAGATAATAACCCCATACATGATTTGGCTGAAGTAATTTCCCCAATTTTAAAGTCTCTTGCATGAAACTCTTTGCTGCATTTTCAAAATCAGCCTTGGCTATCTTGGTAGCCTCTGTGACATTAAGTTGTATATTCTGTTGCTGGACCAACTCAATAGACTGATTCCTATAAACATCTTTAGGTTTCCAGTTTCTTTCCCAAGTGGGCCTCCATTCTTCCCAGTCAATGACAGCCAAGCCCACATTGTCCGTTGGCATGTAATAAAGAATGTCTTTCTTAGCTTTGTCCAGATGGTCTTTTAAGGACCCCTTCTGGGGGATTCCTCCGTTCAAACTTGTGCCTTTCCCATTTATATAAGGATAGTAGCCAAGTCTATCAGTATAAAATATTGTAACGCCTTGCCCTGTTATGTTTTTCCGAGGGCTTCCCACTAAAGAGAAGAGGCTCAGATCTAGTGGCTCACCAAAACTTCCAACACAAAGTTCAGTTGGGGCATTCCAGGCCCAGAGGAAAGGCACATTTGGGATAAGAGGGGGTGCTCTGAAATCCAGAGCCAAGCAACATGGAATCAAAAGGAAGGTGAACACTGCCTGGGATGCTCCACTGAACTCCACAAAGCTCCCACAAAAGATGCGCTTGAACCTTAGCACTCCCATTGCAGAGAATAATGACTGAAAAACACTTATTTCTTCCTACACAGTTTGGTTTACCCAACAGTTGATGGAAGATAGGAGCACAGATGAAAAAAAGTGGAAAGAAGCCACTTTGATAAATAAAGAGGTATATGATTATATTACATTTAAATATTGTTCTTCTTGTTTCACATTTCAGGAATGTTTTGCAAGTTGCATCATCTATAACTGAAAAAAATATATAATATATCATTATGCTACATTTCACAATAAAGATTATAAGCTTTACCAAGTTCTCAACTTTTAAGTGCAAAGAGTTTAATTCAATTTTAAAAGATGGGAGACCTACTCCTGTGTTTGAATCAATAAAATTATTTCCCCTTATGTTTGTTATATGTTCTATAATGGTTAATATTTGTCTTATCTTTCAAAATCATTACTGAGCCTACAGAGAGACAAAGGTAGCTATTTTTCCTTTTGCCTTCCCAGGTGTGCAGAGTGCTATACCAAGCAATGCCTCAGCAAAAGCCCATTGAATGAAAATACAATCAAAGTTGGACCTCTTTTTCTTGGTTATTGCAAAACCAATTTATAGTGGTCTGCCAAATATTGAAAACAACCTGTCATAGAATTGAAAATTTTCATATTTCTTTTTTTTTTTTTTGAAAGGGGTAGTAAGAGAAAAGGAAAAGTCACTTCTGCCAAAGGTAATAAACCAAAAGTTTCCTTGAACTTATTAAATCAATGAAAAACTCCTACCAAACAAGTTTAAGTGCTCTTTGGAACACTGCTCAATCAAGTCTTACAGTAATGTACTCTCATGTTTGAAGTTAATAAAACAGTTTACTACTTCATATCTTCTATTAAAAGGATTGGTTCCAGCGTAGCTTAAGAAAAGTAATATATGGATTTTGGTCTTTTTATAGTGTTTGTTAAGTGAGATTGTGTTGTCATTCTGATTGTTACAAAGTGAAGTGTTATACACTTTCACTGCATGGTACCACTTTTGTGGTAAAATAAAATGGTCTGAGCCAATGAAAAATTAAACTATGTATTATTCATCATTTGATATTTGCAAAAATTGCCTACAAGAAGATATATTTAAATGTTCTGTGATTCTAGAAGGAAACTAGAACCTTTCTTTTTAATTAGATTAGTAGTATACTGCTATATGAGGGTACAACAAGAAATACACCATTCTTCCCAGGAACATGTGTCTTTACTGTAGAAAATTATCCATTCACTCCCATCACTGAAAAATATATTACTCTAATAAGAACACCAAAGTCAGAATAAAATAAAATCTTAAGAACTATTACAGTAATATGTTTTAAAAATAATGAGTTTTTCACCTCATATTTAGAACATGTAAAGTAGCTAAAGATTTTCATAGTTTAAACCCTTAGAAACTTCTTTACTTAGGACCTAGAAAATCTTCACCTGAAGTAACATTTGGGGAAAAAACTAATTCCTTTTACCTGAAGTAACATTTGGGGGAAAAACTAATTCCTTTTAACTACCAACACCAATGCCTGAATGGCAGAAAAGGGAGCAGGAAATGGAATACAGGATTAGCTTTTCTTACGTGTCAGGGAAAGAGTTGGCTAAGCTCATTGAAATTAACTTTCAAATCTATTTCGTCATAATCATTTTATTTTTTTAAAAAAATGGGGTGAGTGAGACTATTGAGAATATCTTTACCCACAGAAATCTTCAAAAAAGAAGGGACACTTCTATTCTTGAAAATTTATTCAGTGAAATATCTCTTTTTTTAGTATTAATCCAAGACAAAGCCTTGGGGCACAAAATTGGCACAAAATTGGGGACAGACCTAGAAGTTAGAAACCAAAATAGCATCTTTGTATTATTTAAAATATCTAATACAGAACCTTGCCTATTTAAACAGAGAACCTAATAGAGAATCCCATTTATCTGGAAAATCTTAACTGATTTAGCCCCAGATTATTAACACCCAACCTTCTCTCTCTACTAGCATTCCTAAGGTCTATACTCAATTTATACTTATGAAAGTTGCCTCTTTAAGTGTCTTCCTGGTCCACTGTGTGGATAATTGCTTCTTAAAGCACTGCTGCTAAGTCTTTAATATCCCCCCAGTCTCCAACAATGGTACTTACCTACAAGCCTACTTTCAAAGTCCAACTACACAACCTGTCTTCAGTAGTATTAAGATAAGATGTGGCCTGGGCTCAATATCTTCCTAGAGCATTGGCTGGCCAATTAGCATACCTTTAAAAAAAAATAAAGGTCATTTTCTTTCAAGATAGACTTAGAAGCTTAAAATATGAATACATCTAAAATCCTATTTTAATTAAACTTTTGGCTGGAAGCAGTGTCTCATGCCTATAATCCCAGCACTTTGGGAGGTTGAGGCAGGAGGATCACCTGAGGCCAAGAGTTTGAGACCAGCCTGGGCAACACAGTAAGATTGCTGTCCCTACAAAAAAATTTTAATAAACCCAGCTGGGTGTGGTGGTGTGCACCTGTAGTCTCAACTGCTTGGAAGGCTGAGGCAGGAGAATTGCTTGAGCCCAGCAGTATGACGTTGCAGTGAGTTTTGATGACACCACAGCATTCTAGCCCAGGTAATGAAGCGAAACCCCATATCAAAAGAAAAAAAAGGCAACTTTAATACCCAATGCATAAGATATGCTTCAATACAGTATTTCACCCTGAGAGAATTTATGCAGATATCAGAACTAGTTATAAAGCAATTGAAGCAACATGTAAAGATGTTTCCCTAAAATATTAAGTGAAATAAAGTAAAAAAAATACACACTATAAGTTGAGGTATACCAAAACATGTAAGTACATACTTAGGGAACTGAAAAATATTCAGAAATATGAAAGAATATTTGTATTTTCTGAGCCTCCATTATATATTATTAATCTTCTAATTTTCTTTTATCCAACTATTATACCATTTCTCAAATAAAAATGGGAGCAAAATAAAATTTAATGTTAGAACTTAGTTTGCCAGAACAGATTTGAAGTTCAGCTTCTCTTCATCAGGGAAAGGAAAAGAACTATAGACCTTCCTATACTCTATTTACCAGGATGCTTGTACAAAGGGTTCTTATTTTATATTTTGAAAGAGGAGTTGATGATTGGACTTTCTTCAAATTAAATTGTATTTTGTATATTTAAGGTATATAACATGATGTTATGGGAAAACTGGGATTTTTGAGGTAAAATCATAATGAACAGACATAGAAATCAGTCAAGAGACTGTCTTCAGAATATACCTTTTGTTGTTCCCATTTTCTTTGAGTCTATGTATATATTATCTGCATGGAATTAAGAACTGAATTTAGGGCTGGGCATGGTGGCTCATGCCTGTAATCCTAGCACTCTGGGAGTCCAAGGCAAGAGGATCCCTCAAAAATACAAAAATTAGTCAGGTGTGGTAGTTCATGCCTGTAGTCCCAGTTACTTGGAAGGCTGAAGCAAGAGGATCAATTGAGACCAGAAATTTGAGGTTGCAGTGAGCTACTGAGCTGTGATGATGTCACTGCACTCTAGCCAGGGGCAACAGAGTAAGACATCTTCTAAAAAGGAAAGAAGGAAAGGAGAGGCTAGGAGAGGCCTGGTGAGGCCAGGCGAGGGGAGGGGAGAGGAGGGGAGGGGAGGGGAGGGAGAGGAGTGAGAGGGGAGGGGCAGGGAGGGAGGGAGAAATAAGAAAACTGAATTTAGATACAATCCTTATACCATTACAATTATTTCAGATATTGAATGTAAATTATTATAAACATGAAGGTAGAAATTCAGAAATATGGACAAGTACTGATAAAGGCAAGATTATAGCTTTGGTGAAAGCAGATCACAACATTATTGAAGGGGGAGGGGTGAAGGAGAGAGTCCAAAGGTTTCAGTCTTCACGAGGCACCTCCCCAGTCTCTGTTTCCCTACAGTCCTCAGAACAACTAACACTATCTAGGCATTGTTGCAATAATGCACAAATAGCTTCTAGCCTCAGGAAGCCTAAGAATACTGAAGGTAATTTTAATATATCTAAATTACTTCCATAAATAGTCGGAATCATTCTTTAAAATGAAAAATAAAAAGCAAAATTCCACATGAGCAGCAGGCCGCAAGTTTACTGCCCTTGTATCCTAATCACATTTGGTAGAGTGTGTAACATTTCCAAGGTACTAGGTTCATAAATTCACCCCAAAGACTGATTTATGCCTCCAGTTATAAGTTACAGTGAATCCAAGCTAAGGATTTTACACAAACTTTTAAGAGACCAGCATAATATCCCCCAAAGCAAGAAACTAAGTATTTTTTCTCTTAAAGCAAAAATTTACAGATTTTTAGGAAAGAAAGGAGCCTTTGAGCAATATTTCTAGATTTCTTCTTAAATTGTGGTATTTTATAAATAATTTGGCCAAATATGATAAACGGGATTTGACAAGAGAAGTTAATCTCATTTTAGGTGACATTCCATTAACTCCTTTTTCCTTCCTCTTTTCTTTTATTATTATCATAATCACTCTTTTCCCTTGCTTCCTTCCAGCTTCATTTTAACTTTCTCAGTGTTGCCCCAGATATGTTTTGAACTAGCTGGAGATTCTCAAGGCTGAAGGAATTGCTCAAATATCTGGCCTATTACAAAATTTCTTATCCTTTTTCACAAAGCAATACCTGAATTTCCCTACTAGGCTATAAAGTAGGAGGGAAAAAACCCAACTTACTTTTGATGCAAAAATTGAAAAGTTTTCCTGTAAGATATCAGTAGGTCAGAAGTTGCTTCAATCTATAGCTCTGCAGTATTTAATCTATTGAGTGAGAAAAAGGAGCCCTTTTCCCAGTCGATTAAAGAAAGAATTAATCTTTTAAGAAGTTACTGTGTGATGGGGTAGGGAAACCTGTGTGTGTGTGTGTGTGTGTGTGTGTGTGTGTGTGTATGTGTGTAGGTGTGCATGCGTGTACACTTATGTGTGTGTGTGTTTGGTATTTTAATCCCAGCAAATTCAAGTCCCATGGCAGAGAAAATTAGCATAAGAACAGTATAAATTTTTTTATTATCATTTGAAATGAGTTTAAGAGCCCAATGGTAAAACAAGCCCTCATTGCAATTACTTTGATTTTTAAGCATTTTGTTAAATTGTCAGATTTCTGCAGTGTAATACAGATGAAGAACAAATGTTAAGGCACTGTCTTCTAGAAAGTACATTTACTGTAAAAATATAAGTAATTTCTTCTTATAAAATTAATAAAATAAATTAGAATTAATGTTTTCAAAATGATAAAGAAGGATGTATTTAATATTTGTTATTATAGGAAAATACTAATTTTCTGAATTCTGCTCCTTTTCTTTAAAGTGGGAAGGGAGAGGGGAAAGGAGAAAAAGAAGAGTGAAATACATAATGAAATGAAATCCTTCAAGAGTGTTCTCAAAATCAAATTTTATTTAATTGCAGTGGTGGAACATACAAATGTAATTCATAATTGCCCAATTTATACAGTAAATTTATCTTCTTGTTTCATGATATAATTAGGGAATAATATATCTAAGAACTGAGAAAACCACAGTCTGATTAAACTCAAATTCTAAATATTGAATACTTAAGCAAATTGATGTGTTGTAAAAAATATTAAAACCTCAACTGTTAAAGATGCATACATAGTCAAAATAAGAAAGTAATTCATTTTAATTTTGGAAGATAATTCTTTTGGGGAAAAGTGTGAATAACATTCTATGTCCAAAATATCTTCACAGGCCTCAGAGTTTATTAAGGAATGTATATCATATACCTTTACTTGTAGAATTAGGATATTGTTCCACTTTCAGAGCCATTCAATTGGTAGTCAACAGATAACATGCTAAATCAGTTATTTACTTAATTGAATGAACTTGTACTTTGAATTTCAGTAAACAAAATTATAGTCAATGATGACACTTCGAAATGAATATGTTCAAACAAAAACTGGAGCTATTTTACCAATCACAAGCCACAGACTTGTCAAAAGAAATCCAGGACTGAACAATAATTAAAGCAGTAAAAAGAAATTTTATTCAGAAAAACTATTGCAATAGGTTAAACAAAACCTCAGTGTATATTATAACTGGGTTCAATTCCAAATACAGCAAGGAAAAATGGGAATTTATACCCAAAAAGCAGGGCGTGGAGTCAGAGGATAGAAAATTACTAAGAGGAAACATCAGGGATAAGGGAGATTCTGGCTAAACTGACCTAACAATATTCTTGCTGGCAGCTGGCTAGGGTGATCAGACATCACTTGGGGGATGATGGAGGAAGAAGAACCTCTAAGAATGACATGATATGGAGGATGGGAGATTCTTGCTACAGCTAGACGCTAAAAGGAAGCAGGGTTTGAGATAACCAAAACAGAATGCACAGATGAGCCTGATTAGAGTTTGGTCAAGGGGAGAATGTTTGTCAGTTTCCCCCCTTGTACATGCTAAGTGAGTTACTTAATTAAGTAAATGAAGTTGATGTACTCTGAATTTCAGTAAATTCAAAATTATGGACAATTACGACACTTTAAAACCAAGATATTCAAACAAAAAGTGAAGCACATCATCCAGAACTTGTAAAGCTCAAGCATTATTCAGATCCAAGCATTATTCAGATTGGATCTTCTGATCCAAATCAGAAGACAAGTATGTTTTCTATAGCTAAGTATGAGGCTGACACTCAGATATGACTGAAGCTAGGTAATTGAATAAAGACTTGAACAGCCTCTAAATGCAATGTGCTAATTAAAAACACAATAGCTCTGCTAGGGATGCTCTCTGCAATGCCACTTCTCAAATACAATGCTAAGCTCTGTGATACGTGACTTTCAGTCAATCCAACATCCCACCATCATAAACCTAGGACCAAATTCTAATTCTTCTATGATTAAAGTGGCTCAGCTGCCTGTACTAATGAGCAAAAGGGCTCAGTATCAAGTCAAGTCAAAATTTAAGAATAATAAAGAATACTTATGGTGCAACTGGTACATTGTATAATGAAGTTCACAAAATTATAATAGCCATAGCATGGGCTATGAGTCCACAATAAGCCTTCTATAAGCAATAACCAGTGTTTCTCTTTCCTTGAGCAGTAAGACTTTTGTTTCTTATTTCTCTGATTTTCCCAAGTCATAGTTACTAAATCTTCCACATATGGCAATACATTAAAGATCCAAATCAGTACTCTAGTCAAACACATAGAGAAAATACTTATCTGTTAATAAATTTCCTTTGTCCAAAGGTAATG